CCTGGTTGTTCTCATCAATCAATAGTCAAGGCCTCCTCCGGGCTTGAGGCCTAGCAGAGCATTTTCTACACTCAGGCGTTCCCACCTCCCAGGCCTAGCCTGGAGGCAGGCTGGACAGCACCCAAACCTGGACTAATCCCTGGCTTGAGCCAGACTAAGCACATGGCAATTCTCCTGAGTATATAAGCACTTACCCAGCATGCAACACATGCACTCACAGTGTCCCTCATTGGATGTCTCACACTGCAGCAGAGTCTCACCTCACTCAGGCAGGCACAATCAATGCCAGAACACCTGGAATTACCAGATAAATGCCAACTATAATTCAGCCAGACTGACTACAGCTCTGGCAATTACTAAATTTCTGTCAGCCACTACACTAAAGGTGGTAGAGGCTACACAATCCATTTAGGAGTGTTGGATTAAGGGAGAACAAAGAGGTATGGGTGTATAAAGTGGGAAAGATATTTCTTTAAAGTTTATATAAACGCCCTATGAATGACATTTTATTTGCTGAAGCACCATGTATCATAAAAAAACTGCATTATTTTTTTTAAATACTCCTTTGTGGAATCTCAGTGATGATCTCCTGCAGCCTCATTGTAGCCTATGCCTGTCTACATGCACTCAAGCAATGGCTGCATGACATTTCTTCATGATGGTAACAACAGTGGACCATACCTGTGAATTGCGTGCTGAAGAATGACTTTCAACATTATATTAACATGTCAAAGATTATATGTGACTTTAGTGCTTGGGTTTACACCTTGTTGAATGCATATTTAGAAAATTTTCCTCCACCTGTTTTGAATATGATTTTTTTTCCCCACTTCCCAGTGTCATTCAACATACTTCCTGTGATCTCAAGGCATCAAGAACCCTGGTGGTATGTCATCAAACCACCCCGGAGTCACAGGAGCATGCTGCATGCAATGGTGCCAATAGTTATTTTGTGCCATTCAATGTAGCATTTAGAACCTGCCAACTGCCAGAAGAAGAAGAGGAGGAACAGAATCCATTACATTATTATTATTATATAGGATTTATATAGCGCCAACAGTTTGCGCAGCGCTTTACAATATAAGGAAGACATGACAATCACAATACAATTCAAGACAAGAGGGCTGATAATCTAAAAGGCATCACATGACATCACACGACCCGACCAAAGACCCAAGGAAAAAAAGGTATGCATGCAAAAAGGCAGTATGGATTACTCGGATTGGAGGAAAAGGGGGGCAACCTGGACTTTAAAAGCAATGCTTAGGAAAGGAAATATATACAAGTAAACCTCTCCAGGAGCTGTTGAGTATATGCCATTGTGACACAATAGGTCTGTCCATGAAAGCCTCCACATACAATATTGTCCTCTATATGTCAACCTGTCTGACAATAATAACACCATCATCATTAATTCAATTATTCCTTTCCCTTAAATGATCTCTCACTTTTAATTGCAGGAAAAATAAAATCCATTTTAGTATGGATCAGTAAACACGCCATGTTCTGCTATACACGAATAACAAAAAAAAAATATAATTTGCTTTCTGTACAAGTACAAAATACAAATAACAAAAAAAAAAACCTGGATTTCATCAGATGAAAACTTGTCAGGATACAGAGATTTCTGCCTGAAAACATTTCCAATAATGGAATTTGGCAAGAAAAGGAACTAAATGAACCTGTAAATACCTTTAGATATTGTCTTGACACAGTAACATTGCATAGGGAGAAGGCTGGGACACAGACTGTGCAAAAGCTTTCCGAAAATGGTAATTTGTTTTCTGAAACTGAGCAGGTGATTTATTCAAAGGAGTGCAAGGTATTTTACATTTAATTATGTGGAAAAAACACAGCATGACAACTGTACATGGGCAGCAAATTCAAACACCCCTTAACAGAATGCATTTCTTTTGTGGCGTCACTGTAATCTTCGGATGACCATAAGCAGCAGAAAATTACGATAATCTCAGTGGGCATGGATGTCAGATTCAGGCGGCCAGCTTTTGTAACCAACCTTGTTGTTGATTGAAGTAATGACAATCATGATGAAAATATAGATAGGGATTACCAATCCTAATTCCATAAGGCGTCAGTTAATACCCCTTATTTGGGGGTGGAATTTTCCTTTACAGCAAACAGCAACTTAAGGTAAATATGTAATGACCTCCAAGGCCCCATTCACACCTGAGCATTTTAAAGCTTCACCAGAAGTGCTTCAACACTCGACATTAGAATCTCCATTACATTTAATGGTTCCCATTCGGATCTCGAAAAAATACATAATGTTCTCTAGGGGCAGAGCTATGCTTTTTGGCCCCAATAGACTTCAATAAGAGTGCAAGAAAAACACACAAAATATGCATGTACCGTGTTTTTTGTGCGTTTCCTTACTTAGCAATTGGCTTTCCATTGGCCAAAAATTATGATCAAGCCTGAAACACGTACAAAAACACCTAGGCCCCCATTCAAACAAGCTACACACGTGAACACGCAGCACGCTTTTCTGCCTTTTGTCATGCATAAGCAAAAACACACACAAAGAAGCTCATGCAGCAGTTTAAGCTTTGAGCAGCACGTATTTTTACTACACGATTTTGTGCACTTGTCGCACGTTGATGCGCGTCTCATGTGCTACTTTTGATCTTTCCGTCACCTTTAATGCAATACTCCAACTGGTAGAGCAAATGGCAGCATTATGATCAGATTTTACTACAATAAAAAGTGTATCAATCTATATCAATCTAATACTGGTACCTAATGAGAGTGATGATCATTGTGTTACTGCCTTTCATTGTATATATATTCCAGGCATTAAACTACGGGGTAAGTGTTTTCTCCCATAGTTCTCCTCAGGGTCACGGGAGGACATAAACTAGCGTCCTCCCGTGACCCAAAGCTCAGTATACAGTATACTCAGTATACTAAGCTCAGTATACTGAGACCGCCGCAGGCGGGACGGATCCCAACATTACTTTTGAGATCCACCCAGCTGCGTGATTGACAGCTGCCTCTGCCTATCTAGAGGCAGAGCCAGCTGTACCCACCCCCTCCCCCGTTCGTTCCTTCAGTCAGCGCTGGAGGATCTGAGCAGGGAAGGGGAGAATCCCTGCAGGGAGCCGTGAGTGACAGCCACAGCTCTCTGCAGGGACAGGATCGAGAAGTGAGTGAGCGACGGTATGTGTTCGCTCACTTCCCGATCTATTGAGCTGACGTGTGACAGTTTCATTGTCACACGTCGGCTCGAACTATGAGGATGAGTGAATATCACTCCCCTCATAGTTCTCCTTTAAAGTTAGTGTTGCTAGTACCGTAATCAATCTGGCTGATTTGTAGTCTGCTATCATTTTGTTATTCTAGGTGTTCTGATACTGATAGCACCTACCTGTGAGTGGGGTGTGACCCTGACACAGAGTGGGGCAGCCAATAGGTAAACATTAGGAGTGTCTATGCCTCACCAGCCAATCTCTAGGAGTTTCATGACCAGTGGTGCATGCTGGGGAAGTGGATAAATACTCAGGAATTGCCATGTTCCGGGCTTCAGTCTGCCCCCGGGCTTAGCCTCGGGGTGGTACAGTGGGGGTGGGGTGGTACGGGGTGGGACCAATGTAACAAAGGCTACCATCAGTAACACACTATGCCGATCTTGCAGTGCCAGACGTGTCCCCCTGCTTAAGCCAGTACATGTCCGGGAAACTGGAGAAACTGGCTAGGCCTCAAGCCTGGAGGAGGCCACATGTGGACCCAGGTGGGGTCTGGAACTATCTGGGGAGGAGAACCAGAGGAGCATGATTGCTGGAGGTGCCAGGATGGTATGGACCTCAGGAACAAGTCTGGTGTCTCGCCCAGGGAAGAGCTCATGCACATCCCTATTCAGCTGTTGTTCTACTGCACAGTGTCATCCTCTGTTCTACTAAAGCATTTCTACACCGTGGAAGCCTGAAGGGGTTGGTGAGTCTGGAGTCTGTTTCTAGTTATGGATGTCTGAAGCCCTCCCTACCCTTTGGGGGTTCACCTCAGGCGCTAAACAAACACACACACACACATATTATATATATAGCACTACAGGATGAAAGAATTGAAATAAAAACACTAATGTAGAGTACACACAGGTCTTTAAAGGAGACACGGTGCTCAGGAGAATAATTTAATGCTGAAAGGTGGTCTACATCCTACCAAAACAATGCACATACATTAAATCATTACACTGAACCCTGTGTCTACTGTGAAGCCCTTTGAGTGCCGCTTCTACATTTGTGCTTAGTGTTGGGGTTATGTGTTTAGGTGAAGCACTGAGGTCTTGAGGAATGCTGAATTAAATTTTACTCGCTTAGCAAGACATTACATGTATGTATACAGGAATGCAGCATTATACAGGAAACAAATATATACAGATAGAACTTCCTGTATATATCATAGATAAAACATAGAGACTAATATTGCACTACAGCATCATCTAGCGCTCAAAAGACAATATTATATCTCTGAATGTCAGTAATACAAATCAGTGTAAGCTGTTGTATTTCCAACACGTATATGTATGTACAGTAGATAGATAGATAGATAGATAGATAGATAGATAGATAGATAGATAGATAGATAGATAGATAGGTCTGTCTGCCTGTCTGTCTGTCTATATACTGTACATACATACATATAAGTGTTGGAAATACAACAGCATACACTGGCTTGTATTACTGACATTCAGAGATATAATATTGTCTTTTGAGCGCAAGATGATGCTGTAGTGCAATATTAGTCTCTATGCTTTTGCATGTTTCATCTATGATATATACGGGAAGTTCTATCTATCTATCTATCTATCTATCTATCTATCTATCTATCTATCTATCTATCTATCTATCTATCTATCTATATATACTGTATGTTTATAGATCATGTGTATTTATGTAACTCTTTGTCATACTTAAAATTCCTCAACCCCTAGACCATTCTAGAGTCTCTTACCCACATTTGCTAAAATCTCAATAAAATCTTACCCTTTCCATTTTGATGAAGCATATTGCTCCTTTCTCTCAAAAAATCAGCAGCACTTTCAGGGTCCAGCTCATTGGTCAGGATAATATCGTTCAACTTTCGTTGTAAAAGTAAATAGTTCTCAGACAACTTGGAGATCTAAAAAAAAAACAGTGGAAATATACAGACAGACTGTAACTGACCACCTTTTAAATGTCAGCATTTACATTTATATTCACTGCCAATGTGATGATTGAATTTACACCCACTGCCAGAGTGCAGGGGTCATTTACACCGGCCAAGGGCCTTTATGAGGCCACGAGGCCACCATAGAGCATCAGTAAGTAGGATGTATCAACAAGTGTCTTAGGCCCCCCCGCCCCCGATGTCACATTGGGGCATACTGTACATTCATGATATCTATTTAGCAGATGCCATCATGACATGTAGGGCATAAACTGCCACTTATATTGGTTTGTATTGATGGGCAAATGAGAAGGAAGAATCCGACAAAGGACAGATTGTTCAATATTACACAGTTGTATTTACCTATGGCACCCCAACAAATTTGAACTTGGGCAATTTCTCTGTTATTATGGTCTGTTTAACATAATCGGGAATATGCCAAACTGTGTGGAAAAGCCTTTGTGCAGAGGATCAAGAACAAAGAGTAGACAAAACCTATCACTTTATGAAACCAAAGGACCTGATTCACCCCTGGGTGCTTATCTGTATTGAGCAGCAAACTACTATTGGTTAATCATATTTAAAGAAGATGGAGCTAAATAGGAATGCCCAGGTACAGACGCCCATGATATCTCGGAGATACAAAAGAAAGGTCCTCCTTTTAAAGTAGAACTATGGCCTCCAAATAAAAAATATGCACTGCAGCAAAAAATTATAAGTGCATCTGCGCTTACATTTTGTCCTTAGCTCCCTTGCAAAGATCCACAAATACTCGCTGATCCAGTCAGTGAAGTCGACCTAATGCAGCTTCCTTTGATGGGGTGGCAACAATGCTGCACTGCTCTTAAATTTTGAACAAGGTTGCCACTCTCTTCTGGGCTGTGCTTTTTTAGTGGGATTTGAAGACACTGCAGGGAGTTTTTTCACTGCTGATTCAAAAGCCTGTAGCTTGTCAGTAAGCACCTGACCACACATAGTTCTGCTCACTGCTTTCTGGATTGACAGTTCTGCCTCTGTTGCTGAATCCCTCCCACTGTGAGCTGCAGTGTCTAGGAGGGGAGTGTGTGAGACACAAATGAAGGAGGATTTTGCTCAGTCAGGGAAGGTTAAGGAAATGTTTGTTTACTTTATGAGACTTCGCATCACAGAGTATCTGGTACGTATTTAAACCGCCATAAGGGAATCTTTAGCTGTATGAGTTAAAGCAAGTTCTGCTATATGCAAAAGAGCCCAAAAAGTGACACTGAGCTTGAAGCAACACAATTTATAGCATATATTGTCATGCTATGAGAGAATCTCATGGGAACAGACATTTTGCTTGAAATACATGATTTGAAAGTTATGAGGCAGAACTGTTCTGAGTCATTTCTTTCATGGCAGCATAATTTAGGAAAATAAGACTATATAGCAGATATAGCAGAAGACACACAGAGGGGGTGGGGGG